CTTATTTTTGTTGATTCGATGTGTTTTGTCTTGGGTGCGGCGATCCGAAGCCTCCATTGTTAGTGTGTTTCTGTCTTTATCTCCTGCAGCTCCTGCTTTGCAGCGAGGGGCTGGGTGTGTGTGTTCTCTGGTGCCTGCGTGTTCCTGCGTGTTCCTGCGTGTCACATGTTCTGTGAGCTGTCACTCTCACCGTTAAGAAAATACCCGTTTGTCCAGTGGGCTTGAGTTCTGTGTCCTGAGTTCGGACCATCGTGCCGCTCTCTCTGACTCTGTCCTAGAAAACCTCTGTCCCCCCCTCCTGGTGGTAGCCACGTCTTCTGTCTGCAGCACACGCTCAGTCTTGTTTTCTGAGCTGAACAGAAAAGATTTTCTTTGAATAGATGAACGAATGAAGCCCGTTCACCTTTACTGATAACGACCAACATGCTTGGTTTTTTCTCTTTCATGATATTTTTATAATTATGTGTATTTTTAATGTTTGCTGTGATTGTCTTCCTCTAAAGGGTATGTTCTTTGCTCTTGAGTTAACATTTTTTGTTTTTAGGAAGGTTTAGAATTATATTTGGGTTATTTTTGCACGTAAACCTTATTAAACGTCTTCTGTCCCTTGGTTTTCACTTAACTGTTCAGCTTCTTGGTTCCTGTGGGTCCTGGGGTCCAGCCACTGCCTCATGGCCGCTGGTGAGCCTATCCCATGTGGTCTTTTCCCTGGCTCTCTGCTTCCTGGTTACAACACATGACCTTCCCCCCCGACCTCTGCGTTTGTAAGCACGTCTCCCGTGGCGTTGCCGTGGTTCCCCCACCCACCTCTTGCGTGATTGGTGCCCATCCCACGGCAGAGTCCCCAGGAAGGCCTTGGTGCAGGGTCCCCTGACGTTTGTATGTGGAAGACGGTTCTGGGGCTTTGATGGGGAGGACAGTTTGGCTGGACATAAAATCCTCGGTTTGCACTTTCTTCCAGTCGTTCTGCGACTGCTTGTCCGTGGTTTCCTTGCTTTGTAAGTTGGTTTTGAACGGCTGATGCCAGGCCGATTCTCTTCCCTTTGTATCTTATTTTCTCTTTACCTGGAGGCCTCGTCTGTCCCTTTGAAAAGTAGTAGTTCCGTTGAGGAAGCGTCAGAGTTGATAGGATGCAGGTTTCAGTCTCTGTTTCCCAGAATGTTCTTTCGGGTTCTGGTTTCAGTGTCTCTCTTGCTCCCGAGTCTGTTTTCCTCCTTCCGAGGCTCTGATCAGGCAGTGCGGGCCTTCCCCGGGCCTGGAGGTGTGTGTGCCCCTCGCTGGCCCGCCTTGCTTCACTGTTTCCCTGCTTGGTGCCTCGCAGTTAACTTTACTCATTTCTGACATGATTTTGTTTTCTTTCTTTGTTTTCTTGCATTCAGTCAACTCTTATTTCTGTCTGTTTTTAAGATTTTGTTTATTTTATTTTATTTTTTATTTATTTATTTTTTTAAAAGATTTTGTTTATTTATTTGACAGAGATCACAAGCAGGCAGAGAGGCAGGCAGAGAGAGAGATCAGAAGCAGGGTTCCTGCTGAGCAGAGCCCGATGCGGGGCTCGATCCCAGGACCCTGAGATCATGACCTGAGCCGAAGGCAGAGGCTTTAACCCACTGAGCAACCCAGGCGCCCTTGTTTTGTTTATTTTAGAGAGAGAGCACGTGTGAGTGGGGAAGGAGGGGCGAGGGAGAGGGAGAGAGCGTCCGGAAAGCAGACTGCTCGGAGCCGGTGCGGGGCTCTGTCTCACGGTCCCGAGATCACAGCCTGAGCCAAATCCGGGAGTCGGACGCCGCACTGAGTGTGCCCCTGATTCTTAATCTCCTTCTGTGTCACTATTTCAGGTTTTGGTGCGGTTTTCTGTCCTCACACGCTCGAGTACGTGTTTTGTCGTTGAACATGCTGTCTTCGTGTTCTTGTGTTCCCAGACGGGGTTTGTCTTGGATGTGTGTGGGTTCCGTTTTCTGACTTTTGTGGTGATTCTTTATGGATTTGCTAATCTCCCTCTCGTGCGTTTTCCTGGTGGTTGGGCGTCTCGTAAGACTCGCGGTCTGGCTGCCCTCTTCTGCCACAGCTGGAAAGTCGGGTAGCCTAGCTGGGTTTTTGTTCGTGTTGGTTGTGTTGGTCAGACCCTGCACCAAGGCCTTCCGGGGGACTCTGCCAAGGGGTGGCACCATCCTCACAAGAGGTGGGTGGGGGAATCACGGCAGTGAGATGAGAAGCACTTTACTAACGCAGAGGTCGGTGGGTGGGGGCGTGGAAGGTCGTGTGTTGTAACCAAAGGATCCTGTGTCCTCTGATGTGAAGTTCTGTTTCATGGGACCCCAAATGCCCCTTTACTTCTTTCCCTTTCCATACCTGGTTTTCAGACGGCTCTTGTCAGGGGCTCTGTGTTCCGAGGACTCTGCCCGCGCCCGTCCATGTCTGTGCTCGGGGCGCTCAGACTGGGGGGCGGGTGGCACCCAGAAGCCATTCTGGGCCGGGTTTTGCTGGACCGTGGCTCCTCACGGGCTTCCCCCCGATCTGGGCTCCATGGGGCGCTGCAGAGACAGGCCAGTTCTGCTCCCTTGGGGGGCTTCGGAGCAGGTGCTCTCGTCCTCACAGTATGCGGATGGAGTCATGTCTGCGTAGACTTGCCCTCCTTGTTCTGGGTTGTTTCTGGGGAGGGGGAGGGCGCTGCCGGCGTGACTTGGTGGCAACGTGCTGTCCTTACCCTGTGAGCGAGTGCGTCCTCCTCAGCCGAGTACTGGAGTGTTTACCGCGGCCGCTGGTCCTCCCGTCTGCTCAGGTGTGCTCTGTGCTCTGGGCAGAAGGGGCGTAGAGCTGGGTGGAAACGAGTTTGGGAACCACGCCATCGCGAGGGCAGGCGAGTTGGAGCCTGTGCTGTTCGGTTCTGTCGGGCCCTCGGGCAGGTCCGCCTGGGTGGCTGGGGTCCAGCTGGCCCTGGGGGCGCAGGAGCAGCCTTGAGCGCCGCCTCGGCTGAGGGCCTGGGGGTTCCTGCTCTTGGAGCCGTGGCGGCGCCGTGTCTGCGCAGCGATGGGCTCCCGAGTGAGCTTGATCCCGCCAGCCAGGTGGGATTGGGACGAAGGGGGTTTTTTCTTTCCGTTTGGTTTTACATCAGGTGTTTATTGACTGTCGGATGGAGGGAGCCGTTTTGACCGTGGCAGGGCTGCCTTCAGAAGAAATAGCTTCCCTTGGCCGTCTTGCTGGTGGTCCCGTGTCAGGGAGGCTCCATTTGCCAGGGAGGAGACGTGTCGTGGGCATCAGCACCCTGTCCGACGTTGTTCTGTTTGTAGCCCTGGTGCCCGCAGAAGCAGGGAACCGAACAGCCCTCGATGGGTGCGGCTGCTGGCGGGCGTGGTCCTGTCCACCGCCGCCTCCACCACGGCCTCCACCGCCGCCCCCAGAGCTGCCTCCCACACCCGACGCTGGCCCGGGCCCGGCAGAGTGTTCTGTCTTCTGGGCCGGGGTGTGGGCTTGGCTGCCTCTGCGGCTCAGGGCCACCGCAGGGCCCGTCCCGCCGTTAGACGTGCTCTGACTGTCACGTAGGATATCTTGGAACGTGGGCTTTTTGTGGAACCGCGCAGAAGCACGAGAAGCTCCAGTTTCTCGCTGACCTTCAGAGCCTGCCTGGGCCGGACACACGCCCGTCAGAACCAGAAAGCTCTGCCACAGTTTTGATTCCTGCGGTCTGTTACAGTGAAGGCTTATCTGTCTCCATTTCTGACTTTTCGCATCTGTTAACTTGCTCTCCGTGTGGCCGCACCAGCCCCCGGGAGCCTCGAGGTCGGCCGCAGCGTAGGCCCCGGGGTGGGGAGGGAAGGCCGCCGTCGCGTGTCGCTTTCCTTCCGGAAACCGGCCTCTCCCTGTGGTGTGCGGCCTGGACGGCCGCCGCGCTCCTGCCGTCCCCCCACCCCCCGCGGATGTCGTGTTCGTCACAGGCCCTGCTGGCTCTTGCACCAAACGCGTTGGGGCTGTTGTGGACTCGCTGAGAAAACTGGAATCGCTCTTTGAAACGAGGAAGAGCCGCCCCCGCAGGAGTACGCTGGGGGGATCTTGGTGGGGGTGGGCGTCTGAAGGGGCAAGGAGGGCGGTTGAGGTGGAAGCCGTGCGTGCACAGGGACGGAGCGGCCGTGCCCAGCCTGGTGGACGGGGCTCAGGCGGTGGCGACCGGGTGCCGGAGCGCGGGCGGCCGGCGGGTGCTGTGGTCCTCGCCTGCCACCTGCTGGCCGGCTCCCGGAACTGCGGCCCGGTCTGGGCAGGGCTGAGAACTCGGTCCTCCCGCCTCTGTGAACTCGCGGCGGCTGTGAACATGCCGTGGTCATGTTTGCTCCCGAAACATACATGAGCAGCGTCAACCATCAGAATGCAGACAGTCTTCATTCCCAGCGGAAGACGAGCGCCCTCCAGGCGTGTGGTTTGAGCCCCGGAGTGTCCGATGGATGCGGCCACGATGCTTCCAGGAAAACCGGCCCCGGCGACTCCGTGCCACAAGCGGGTGTCAGAGACTTGCAGAAACTCGGCCTTTCCCCCAGCGGGGCAGGCCCTGAACCAAAGCGCTGCTTTTAGCCTGGAGACAGCAGACGGGGTCTCACTCAGACCAGCCTGGGGATCAGGGCAGCCCAGCGTGCCAGCCGGCTGACCACCAGCCTGCCCCGTCCAGGAGTTTAGACTTTATGGCGTTGGGAATGTTCCTTTGTCAGCAAAGCGGGGATGACACCACTGGGCCCAGGTGTGGCATTGGTCCTGCCTGTCCAGCTGGAAACGTGTCCCTCTGCTCGCACCCCCTCCCCATTAGGCACTCGTAAAGCACTCCAGCTCAAGGAGCAGGCCTGGCTTCCTCCAGCACCAGGGTTCCTTGGGACACCTGTAGGGAAATGTGAGTGGCCCCAGGTGTGTGCAGTCCTGGGGCCAGCGCCCGGCTCTGACCCGCCCTTCCAGCGCTGTGGGTCGCGCCCACCTGTGTGCACCACTAACCCGGCTGTCTTCTCCTTTCTTGCCACCAGGGGTCAGGCCCAGGCTCCGCGGTCCCAGGCGGCTCCGGCGTTGGAACCCCCAGACAGTTCACGCGACAAAGGATCACGCGGGTCAACCTCAGGGACCTCATATTTTGTTTAGAGAATGAGCGTGAGACAAGCCATTCACTGCTGCTCTACAAGGCACTCCTCAAGTAGCATGGGGCGGGCGCGGCGCCGCAGACGGAGACGCCTGGCACGTTTTTATATATTTGCAGATGACGCCTTTTGTAACAAGCAAATGGGATATTGTTTAAAAAACAGCCACCTCTTTACAACAAAACAGTTTTATATTCCCGTTTCTAAGTCTGCTCTTCAGTTCGGAAGAAGACACGTTTCTGTAACCGAGAACAGAGGCCGTGGGCGCTCTGAACGGACAGTTAACTCTTAACTCATCTTTGAGTGGCCTTCTTGCCAAACAAGCCATATCTAAAAACTGATGGAATCGTTTAGCAAATAATTAGCTGCCCTCTGTCACCTCGTAGCGGTTTCTACATTATTTGTGCATTTTGTTTTATTCAACCCAACTTATTGCGTAGGTGTGTGTCTACAGCAATGACCTCATTTCATTTATTTTATTTTTGTATTAGTCAGTTGGCAAAGCAAACTGATTTTTTAGACTATTTATGTCCCTGTCCCCTCCCTCGCCAGAGTCCCCGAGGAGCACGGAGCTGGTCGCGCTCGCCCGGAGCGTGGTCCCTCTCTGCTCCGGGGCGGCCGCGGTGGCTCTTTCCGAATGTGCGGTCGGCATCTGTACAGACGCGTTTTATTTGCTCGAGTTTGTAAAGCTGTAAAGTTAAAAGAAATGAAAACCTTTTCAGCATAAATATATTTTACTTGCACTGTGTTTTTTAGCTAAAAGTGGAAACTTAGATGAAATAAAATCAAAGTTGAGAAGAATCATCAAAAGACTGTTTCTCAGTGTGAATCAAGTGTTGAAAAATGGTTGGTGTATTTTGTCAGTAATTGTACATAATTTTTGGCACATAACATGAAGATGGCTATGTAAACTATAATTATTTTGCTAAGAGACTGTAAGCAAGCTGTGGGCCAACTTTACAGATGTCCAGAGCAAAGCCCCTTCTTTGTACCTATTTTTTTATTACAAATATACTAATTGGTTCTTTATATTTTCAGAGGTTATTGTATTAAATTGTCTATTGATAGTACTTTTATGACTGTAAATACTTTGGCTTCTCCGTGTGAATCCTCACGCCAGACCGGACTTCGCGCGAGTGTGAACCGAACGCGGATCAGTATTTTTACACCCCCAAACTGTTACACCTTTTATTTCGTCTTTTAGGAAATCCCTGTCTTTCCATTTTTTCATGTAAATTTTGCACAGTTACTTGTTCATATGTAAATATTTTACTTTCAAAAATGAAGTTTTTAATTGCTATTGTTTTATATAGGATTGAAAGAAAATTAACTCCTTTATTAAAAACAAATTTATCTGTACCCGTTTTGGCTGTTTTTCCCGGTTTTCCAGGGTTAGATTCCATCAGAGGCTCAGCTCTGGTTCCCCTGAGGTCTTTGTTTATGAACCGCTTGTTAGAATCCGTATCGAAATCCCGGTGACTCATGTAGAAACGACCTCACCTCCAAGGACAGGACCTCCGTGACGCAGGGTGAGGCCTGGCATGAGTGGCATCCGAGGGCCCAAAACTGAGCTTGCTCCCCACATGCTCGGGTCGTCTGGGTCACCCTGCCTCGGACACAGGGATGCCGGGGTACCTGCCCACGCAGCCGGGGCACCCCGGAGAGAGGCAAGGTAAGACCCCAGGGGGTCCACACATGGACACGCGTTCTGGCGAGCCTTGCGGGGCGATTCGATGGCCCCGGCCTGGGGTGGACCCACGGTGATGGAGACAGACAGGGTCTCCGGGAGGCCCCACCTCCTCTGGCTTCTCCCATCGGGGCAGGCCAGCACCCTGCCTCTCTAGCGCTGTAGGTCGCCTGTCGTTGGCCTGCTGGGCTTGGGGTTTCCACACTGACTTTAACTAGTTGGACGATACCCAGCAGCACGAGGGCTGCCTTGCACGTTACGCTGGCAAACACCACTCTCGTTCGGGAGCCTGTGCCCGCGTCTTTGGGGCTCCTGGATGCACCACGGACTGGGGGGCTTCAGCAGTAGAGGCCCGTGTCCCCCTTCCGGAGGTCAGAAGTCTGAGGTCGGGGCTCGGCAGGGTCAGTGCCCTCCGAGACCGTGGGGTGTCTCTTCTGGGCTTCTCCCCCGGCTGCTGCTGGTGGCTGCCATCTTGGACATTCCCTCCGAGTTTTCGTGGTGTTTTCTCTCTGTGCATCTGTCTTTGTGTCTGAATTTCCCCCTTGCAAACTCCAGGACACAGGTCACACCGGAGTAGGCTGCTGGCGGTGACCTCATTTTAACTTGACTTCCATAATGACCCCGTCTCGAAATCAGGTCAAGTTCTGAGGTGCCAGGGGCTGGCACTGCACAGACCTCTTGTAGGGGGTTACACTCAACCGTCACAGGCCGACAGGCCCGAGCCCCTGTGGGAAGCCCCCCCACTCGAGGGTTGGAGGCTCCGCCCACGTGAGAGGCCTGGGGTAATTCCGTGATTATCCGTGATTAGATCCCACTTGCACTTGCTAACCAGACGACGCTGTCTCTTGCGACGTTCTCAGCCCGAAAAAAATCAGGTCAGTGGATAGAGGACAGTCGGACTTGGATTTCTGCAGGTGTGACCGACTCAGTGTCAGCTTCTCGCACGTCCTCCTGGGTCCCGTTGCTCTGCCGCGGACATTCGCAGCCAAGGCGCAGCCTCTGACGTGGGCAGGAGGCCCTGCACGGCAGGCGCACGGGTTTGTCCTTGTTTTCCCCTCGGGGGACAGTTACCTGCTGTGCAGTTAGCTGCCCGGCGTCCGCTGTGGGAGCTTGGATGGGCTGCGAGGTCGAGGGCTGGGTGGTGTGGGCCAGGACGTCTGCTCTCCCCGCGCCGTTCCCCAGAGCGCTGTTCGCAGTCGGGCAGGAACGAGAAGTAAGGCAGGAAGTTTCATGAAGTTTGGGAAGCAAAAAGGCAAAGAAAGAAATCACAGATGACGTCCTTGTGCCTGGAAAGTCCGGAAGAATCCACACGCATGTTCCCGAAACGGGTCTGAATCTTGTGAAATTGCAGGGAGCGGGGTCAGTAGCCAGAATGAGCTGTGATCTCGGCAGCCAGCGGCCAGAAAGTGAAAACGGGTCATGCACGATGGGACCGGGAACGCTGGGGTACCTCGGACTATGTCAGCAACGACACGGGAGACCCTTCGGCTGCGACTGGAGGAGCGAGAAGCTCTGCGTGGAGCTCGCGCCGTGTGTGCAGACTGGTCCCGGCCGCCCCGCTTGCGTCCAGCAGGGCTTCCGCTGACCTTGGCGGTCCGATCCCAGGCGTGTAGGACAGAGCACACGTGGAACGTCCACACCCCCGGATTGCGAGACGTCCTGTAAAGCCGTGTCCTCGAGTCGGTGTGGCATTGGTGCGAGGGCGGGTGTGACCAGTGAAGGCGGCGGATCTGGGTGTTACGGCCATGGGGCGTCAGATAGAGACCAGAGTGGCGAAGGCAGGATAGCTGCTTGTGTGGCTGGGTGGCCTGTGGGAGGACAGTGAGTGTTGCCCCCGTGTTCACACGCACGGATTAGTGGGAGGCGGATCAGAGGCCTGAGAGTGCGAGGGACAGTCCTGAGCTCATAGCAGAAAGCGTCAGAGAAGACGTTTACGACCTTGGCCTGGGCAGGCACAGCCCAGAAAGAACAGGGTGGCCAAGTGCACTCGAAGTCTGTGCTCCGCTGGAGATGCCCGGAAGCGTGGAGGGGAAGCCCCAGGCCGGGAGGTGAACCCAACAGAACCCACAGGCGCAGGAGAGCAAGAATCACCTCAGCAGAAACGTGTGGCAGGCCTGCAGGTGGCCAGTGAGCGGGTGCCAAGGCTGCCCGTCGTGACGGGTCAGCAGAGACACGGAGGTGAAAGCCGTGGGGCGAGCCCGCCGCCCACCCGCCGCGGGGACCCCGAGGGACAGAGAGGAGCGGGCGCTCCCACGCCGCTGGCCGTTCCGGGCGGGCTGGCCACTTCGGGGACCTGCTGCGCTTTGAAGAAAGGGAAGCGCGTGTCTACCCTGTGACCCCGCATCTCCCGCTGGCGCAGCTCCTCGAGACAGGCTTTGTCCACCGGGGCCGACGGGAGCGTTCGAGGTGGCGCTTGTCACCGGCGGCCCGAAGTGGGAACAGCCCACCTGTCCGTCCGGTGGCGGCTGCAGACGCGCCGTCGAGGGCTTGTCGGTGGAATATGACTGGGGACGAAAAGCAGCGAGGCTGCGCGGCCGCTCAGTAACGTAGGTGGGTCTCTGAAGAACCCGGAGAAAGCTCCAGACACGAGCCCAGCCCCGGTTCCAGCTGCAGGACGCTCAAGACAGGACGCTTCCCAGGGGCGGTGGGAGTCCGTGTGGCTGCCCCGGGGGCTGGTGGGAGGGCCTCGGGACTCTTGGAGCTGACAGGAGCGTTCTGTCTCCGTCTGGGTGGCGGTCACGCGGGTGTGTGAGTGTAGACGGGCTGACAGGTAAGGTCTGCGTGGCAGCAGATGGAGAAGGTCCGCAGTGAAACCTGGGGAAACGACTCTGGCTTTGGACGCCTCCGGGCCGGACCTGGGCTCCCCCCGGGCAGGTCGCCTGGCCCCATGGGATCTGGGGCCACACGAGAGGAGCCCACGAGAGGAGTGTGCGTGTCTTGGGGTTGGTGGCGACTCGTGGTCGCCTTGAGATCACCTGTGGTCGCTGGTGAACTAGTTGAGTGTTAACTAGTTTTTCCTTTTATCAGACTGTGGTCTTTAAATATAAGTTTTGTCTTAAATAAATAGATAAAAAGGTCTACCTAGCCTCTTCACCCATCCCCGCATCAGGACCCGGCTTGCCCCTAGCCCGACCCTGCCTGGCGCACACAGCCGGGTGGCAAGGCACCTGTCTTGGTCTCTGGTGTGTCCGAGCAGCGTTGGGACCCACTGGGGCCTCCGGATCCTGCGTGCAGTGTGCGCTGTCATGGGGGAGGCCGGGCAGTTAGACCACAGTCCGCAGGGGACTTTCCAGCCACGGGCTGCCAGCCCCTCCCTTCCTCTGGGCCGTTCTGGGCCACAGCTGGGCCACGCATGCCCAGGGAAGACCAGCCCCAGCAACGTAGTCCTTCTGCTTAAGAGACAAATCACACCTGTTTTCCAAGAATCAAACTGCCTCTTCCTCAGGCTTTGTCCTGGTTGCCAGAAAGTCTCTATTTTTGAGGAGAACGGACACGCACCTGTCTTTAAAAACATATGTATTCAGCAGGTGTCAACGAGCACTTGCACATGCCGGGCGCCTTTCCAAGGGGCTGGCGGGTGTGGCCAAGGCACAGTCCCCGGAGGAGGCCAGACAGGGCTCGGGCTGGGAGAAGTGTCCTGGGGGGAGGGGGCGGGCGGGCGAGCCCATGGCAGGGTGCACTCGGATGGCGCGGGCAGTCTCCTCTGGGCGCGTCGGGAGAGGACGGTGGGAACAAGTTTCCTGTGCTTATTTGGAACTCAGGAGCCACAGTAAGACGCCAGCACGCTCCGCTAGTTGGGGCGCACCCGGAGCCCCGGGCTGGAGGTCGTGCAGCCCGGGCCTTTTTTTGGAAAAGTGTGGCATGTGCCAGCCTGTCCACTGTCTTGCCCATCCACGCACTCCTGGACGCTTGTCCCCAAGAAGTGGAAGATGTCCCCGCCAAGATGTGGACGGCCATGTTCGCAGCAGCTTTGTGTGGGACGGTGAGGAGCTGGAGAAGCCCTACAGCTGCCCGAGGGCGGGCGAGCGGCTACCTGGGTCTGCACCGCATACAGCCAGGGGCACCTGCTGAGTCCCTGCATGAGTGCGAGAAGCCCGCAGACCGCGACACC